TCAAATTGAAGCCCCGAAAATAATCTTTCCAATGGTTCCAACCTCACATCCAAATTCAAAGTGTGGAAAAAGAAAAGGGCAAAAGAGTGACGGCTGATCGTAGACAAAATATTCAAACTAAAGTTTTTGATCCAATCTTACTCTACCATCATATTACCACCACAATCAAGACCCCAAAATAAAATAACGAGGTTCCAAATACACTACTACAATGTCAAGGGAAATCTTACTTCTCACGCTCGAGCGTCGCTTCAACCGCTCGAGCGCGCACAGACCAATAAAGCAGTCCGCTCGAGCGTCAACTTCTCCGCTCGAGCGGAGATTCACAACTCCCAGAATCTCAGGCCGTCTGCAAAATTGCTAAGAACCCCAAAAGTCTGCTCGAGCGTAAACTCCTCCGCTCGAGCGGAGGGAAAAATTCTGGGTCGTCACATCCTTCCCACCTTAAGAAATTTCGTCCTCGAAATTGAAGAAACCAAATAGAAGACAGTTCAAACATAAACGGAAACACACCCTGCAATGTTCCAAAACTAGATCCACACCTGGGATAGGATAGGGTCACAAATACTTTCGATCAACACATACATATCAGAATTTCAACAGGTAAGGAGCAACACTAACCATTTATAATCCCAAAGTCCATAGTAACTTCTCAATTAACAACAAATTTTCAATTACACTTCACTTAACGGCATCATCAATTCTTTAGTCCACTTGACATTTAAAAAAAAAACAAAAACAGTGATGACCATCATACAATTGCTCCTTAAAAACAATTACGTAGAGGAGTTCCTACTTACCTTCAAGAGAGGCCAAACAAACATACCTTAAGTTTTAGGATTTCTATACCCTCTTTCACTTTCTCATTTGCTCCCTAGAAGATCTATGCTCTTCTTTTCAACCCTTATTCCTTACGTATGAAGACTTAGGTATACATATAGATAGTCATATATAAAAACATATAGGACAAAATCCAATCGTTAAATCATTCCGAAATTGAAATCTCGTAACCATACTTAAGATTACATAAAATTATGCTAATTACAGATACATAATCAATTCAAATAATTAAACCTTTAAGGCTTCCAATTCCTTATTCGATTATTCTAAGTATAACAGATACGTTTCTTGTTAAACAGATAGGCATCCTTAAACATGGTTCCACTATTTAGTCTTAACTGCTCAGGGGATTTCACCGTAAACATTTAAAGGTACAAAACAAGGACTGAAAACATGATTTATAAATTCCTACAGCATACAATAATTCCTTAAGTGAATCTTATAAGGCAATTTACTCGGTGGTACATGACCATTACGGTTACGTATAGTTCTCAAAACAACTTAATTACGTGGTCAAATAAAAATCCGATTTTGCATCATTGAACCAGATCTTATAACCTACCAAATAAGGTTCTACCTAAGAGGCACAATATATTCCATTTCACTAGTCCCCAATACAGTGATAAGCTCAAAGTCATTTCATCTCCGAAAACATATCAAAATCATATCGTTATGTGGAGTCAAAACCACATTTACTAATTGTTGACAAGATCGGAACGGTGGGAAGAAGAATCCCCATTATAAACACCTGATCATGCCGTCATAAGTTCAAATATGGATAATATATACAGTTATCAAACAAAGCTAGAAATCGAATTCAAAATCTTACTTGATTAATCAATCATAACCATAAGGTATGATATTTTCCTTTGCTAACACTTTTTCTTGTCATAGCACAAATTAATTTGGCCTCTTCTCTTCCTTTTTTTTTTTTTTTTTTATCTTTCAAATGATTCTTCTTTTTCTTACTGGAAGACACGAGGTCAATCACATGGTTTCGTATTCACATCATAACTTCCATATAAGTGATATAGGACAATGTCATAATTGCTAACATTTGCATAGTTACACAGATAGTTCACAGGAATGATTTTCTCAATCTTAAATCACTTAATATACAAAAACAGAATTTGAATTCTTGTAGTAGCTTAGCTATTTACTGATCATTTAGTTTGACGTCGAAGTAGTCAATAGCTACTCTCTCTTCTTTTTTTGTCTCGTGTAAGTAGACACGCGATGTGGGTAAGGTCCTTTATATCATTCAATCATTTTTACACGAAATCCTGATCGCAAATTACAGGATACACGTAAACAAATCAGATTTCAGACTTCAAATCACAAATCATGGATTCCATAATCGATCCCGATTGCACATAAACGAAATAGATAAATAGAAACATATTCATACATACTCCTAGTTATACTTGAATCAAAAACAGAAATCAGAGTTTATGCTTGATCATAATCCACCCGTACAAGACCGTCGGTGGCACCATCTGTACAAGACCGTCGATGGCAAAACATATCTTGTAACATACTGAAACCATCATCATTCCTTAATTCGTAACATAACATATCAGAAAATAAAACATTGCTTGTCATATCATGTCATTGTCATGCGCTTAACAAAATAGGATAATCAAAGTACATATCCCAATATTTTGTTTTCAAATCATAGGTCCATACAGTACCATGACAAAGGAAACATAACTGTATCATAAATATTCCATACTTAGTATTTAAGCAATTTGCAAATCATCTAAATAAATGATAGGTAACTATCAGTTCAAAATCAACCAAAAATTGCATGTGCATTACTCACCAAAGACAGTTCAAACATAAACGGAAACACGCCCTGCAATGTTCCAAAACTAGATCCACACTTGGGATAGGATAGGGTCACAAATACTTTCGATCAACACATACATATCAGAATTTCAACGGGTAAGGAGCAACACTAACCATTTATAATCCCAAAGTCCATAGTAACAGGACGCATAAAGCGTGGTAACAGGACGCATAAAGCGTGGTAACAGGACGCATAAAGCGTGGTAACAGGACGCATAAAGCGTGGTAACAGGACGCATAAAGCGTGGTAACAGGACGCATAAAGCGTGGTAACAGGACGCATAAAGCGTGGTAACAGGACGCATAAAGCGTGGTAACAGGACGCATAAAGCGTGGTAACAGGACGCATAAAGCGTGGTAACAGGACGCATAAAGCGTGGTAACAGGACGCATAAAGCGTGGTAACAGGACGCATAAAGCGTGGTAACAGGACGCATAAAGCGTGGTAACAGGACGCATAAAGCGTGGTAACAGGACGCATAAAGCGTGGTAACAGGACGCATAAAGCGTGGTAACAGGACGCATAAAGCGTGGTAACAGGACGCATAAAGCGTGGTAACAGGACGCATAAAGCGTGGTAACAGGACGCATAAAGCGTGGTAACAGGACGCATAAAGCGTGGTAACAGGACGCATAAAGCGTGGTAACAGGACGCATAAAGCGTGGTAACAGGACGCATAAAGCGTGGTAACAGGACGCATAAAGCGTGGTAACAGGACGCATAAAGCGTGGTAACAGGACGCATAAAGCGTGGTAACAGGACGCATAAAGCGTGGTAACAGGACGCATAAAGCGTGGTAACAGGACGCATAAAGCGTGGTAACAGGACGCATAAAGCGTGGTAACAGGACGCATAAAGCGTGGTAACAGGACGCATAAAGCGTGGTAACAGGACGCATAAAGCGTGGTAACAGGACGCATAAAGCGTGGTAACAGGACGCATAAAGCGTGGTAACAGGACGCATAAAGCGTGGTAACAGGACGCATAAAGCGTGGTAACAGGACGCATAAAGCGTGGTAACAGGACGCATAAAGCGTGGTAACAGGACGCATAAAGCGTGGTAACAGGACGCATAAAGCGTGGTAACAGGACGCATAAAGCGTGGTAACAGGACGCATAAAGCGTGGTAACAGGACGCATAAAGCGTGGTAACAGGACGCATAAAGCGTGGTAACAGGACGCATAAAGCGTGGTAACAGGACGCATAAAGCGTGGTAACAGGACGCATAAAGCGTGGTAACAGGACGCATAAAGCGTGGTAACAGGACGCATAAAGCGTGGTAACAGGACGCATAAAGCGTGGTAACAGGACGCATAAAGCGTGGTAACAGGACGCATAAAGCGTGGTAACAGGACGCATAAAGCGTGGTAACAGGACGCATAAAGCGTGGTAACAGGACGCATAAAGCGTGGTAACAGGACGCATAAAGCGTGGTAACAGGACGCATAAAGCGTGGTAACAGGACGCATAAAGCGTGGTAACAGGACGCATAAAGCGTGGTAACAGGACGCATAAAGCGTGGTAACAGGACGCATAAAGCGTGGTAACAGGACGCATAAAGCGTGGTAACAGGACGCATAAAGCGTGGTAACAGGACGCATAAAGCGTGGTAACAGGACGCATAAAGCGTGGTAACAGGACGCATAAAGCGTGGTAACAGGACGCATAAAGCGTGGTAACAGGACGCATAAAGCGTGGTAACAGGACGCATAAAGCGTGGTAACAGGACGCATAAAGCGTGGTAACAGGACGCATAAAGCGTGGTAACAGGACGCATAAAGCGTGGTAACAGGACGCATAAAGCGTGGTAACAGGACGCATAAAGCGTGGTAACAGGACGCATAAAGCGTGATAACAGGACGCATAAAGCGTGGTAATAGGAAATAACAGATGTATGGACTCAAGAGGTGGCTCGTACGGATTCTAGAGGTGGCTCCCACCAAAGTGTAGCACTTAGTTCCGTACAGCACTTTGCTCCATATCAGGAATCAATAAGTTTTAAACTAACAATTCATATCATGCTAATGCTGAGGCGGAACGGATTAATAAGACAGAATACATAAACAGAATAAAACGAGACAATCCCAAATTCATATGAATATCGTCACACCATAGTATGCACGAATCATCTCATGGCTTATTACAACAGACATAATCGTCTCATGTATATCAGAACATTAATAACGTTTCTTGATAGGGACGGAATAATTTACCTCATAACAGTCTTAATTCATCATTGACAAAACAGAATGATTCGGAGTACACGAGCATTATTGTTTCTCTTGTTTACTATAAATCAATGCAGATAATTTACAGATAACGGAACGGGTAAAAAGGGTGAGCTTGAAAAGAAGCCTTCGCAAATCCAACTTCCAATCGGGTAAAAACATTAATCCTCCCTTGTTCTTCATCCTTGATGCCAAAAACCATGGTGGATCGTGATCAAAGTAAAGGAATTCAAGGGTTTGGGGGCTAGGGTTTCGGACATGGAAGAGAGGAAGGAAGAGGAAAGAAGAAAAACATCTAAAATGATCCAAAATCCCGTTTTTAAAGCTGCTGGTCCGAAAAATCCGCTCGAGCGCACATCTTCACGCTCGAGCGTACATGCATTCAGCACAGATGTCAAAACTTCAAATAGGCATAACTCTCCCATCCGGACTCCGTTTTAAGTCGTTCTTGTGCTCAAATTGAAGCCCCGAGAATAAGCTTTCCAATGGTTCCAACCTCACATCCAAATTCAAAGTGTGGAAAAAGAAAAGGGCAAAAGAGTGACGGCTGATCGTAGACAAAATATTCAAACTAAAGTTTTTGATCGAATCTTACTCTACCATCATATTCCCACCACAATCAAGACCCCAAAATAAAATAACGAGGTTCCAAATACACCACTACAATGTCAAGGGAAATCTTACTTCTCACGCTTGAGCGTCGCTTCAACTGCTCGAGCGTGCACAGACCAATAAAGCAGTCCGCTTGAGCGTCAACTTCTCCGCTCGAGCGGAGATTCACAACTCCCAGAATCTCAGGCCGTCTGCAAAATTGCTGAGAACCCCAAAAGTCCGCTCGAGCGTAAACTCCTCCACTCGCGCGGAGGGAAAAATTCTGGGTCGTCACAAGTAGAGTCAAGGAGTTGATTGTTCATACAGTGCCAAGAGGATTTAATAACATGAATAAGGTCGGGATGAAACATCCAAGCAGCCTCAAAACGGAAGGGCCTATTACGGGGGTTTAAAGTGTGCATACCTTGAGTGTAGACGACAAGAGGGGAGTGATCAAAATAAGTTATAGGAAGAACTCTAACTGTGGCTTGGGGAAACATGGACCTCCATACCGCATTACACAGGGCTCGGTCAAGTCTTTCCATGGTGTTAGCCATACCTTGTCTATTGTTCGTCCATGTCAAGCGAGGTCCGGAACTGCCCAAGTCAATTAGATTACAGCTATTCACCCGATCTAGAAATTTTTGAGTTCTACTGGTATTTTGGCTAGCTGAGAAACTCCTTCTTTCACTTTGATTAGCGTAGTCATTAAAGTCTCTAGCCACCAGCCAAGGTTGTTGCATAGAATGTGCTACATCTTCAAGGTCCTGCCAAAGCCGTTCCCGAAGGCTGGGGTTGGGACTGGCATAGACAGCAGCCAATACCCATTCCTCATAATCCTCCTCATGTACAGTAGCGTGAATGACTTGTGGACTAACTATAGAGGCTCTAACATTCACTTGGCTTGTATCCCAAGCAATCCATATACCCCCCACTCTGCCTACGGGATCAATCGTAGATGAGGCAGTGAATCCAAGTTGATTAAAGAATTCACTCATGGTGCTGAAGGCCACCTTGGTTTCCATGAGGATCAGAATCTTTGGTTTATGGGTCTTGACAATTTCCACAAGATTACGTTTAAATTTGTTATTGCCGGCACCGCGGCAATTCCAGAATAGAAGACGGATTAAATCCATAAAAGGGAATGATGGGGGGGTGGTACCTTCAAGGTTTATGATACTACGTATTCTCCGATGGTTGTCCTCCGTTGATCTGAGAGAGGCCATCTGCACTGAGTGGAGTGGATATGGTCGATTGTCCCCCCAACTTGGCTCGATGATTAACCGAATTTGTTCTATCCGCCAGTCGAAAGCGACTAGGTGAAGAGCTTCGTTCTCTGGTTCTAATAACAGCCCCATCGAGCTGGTCTGTCTGAGATGCTCCTCTACCTGAAGTCTTTAAGCCTTTGAATTCGTTACTTCTTCCTTCTCCATTGTGTTGTTCTCCTGGGTCGGGGGGTTCTCTTTCTTGTAACAATGGGTCCGTGAGTACTGGAGAAAGACTAACACCAGGGATAGTGATATTTGGAGTGCCGTTGGTTGTGTGAGATAGACTAGCTATAGCTGTTTGTGAAGTCAAATCCTCTTGCCGTGTACTAGTATCCAAGACACATATCATGTCAGTTATGCCAGATATTGGGTGGTTTTCACTGTGAGAGTGTTTTATTTCAATGTGCTCAGTGCCTGACACCTCTGCAATAGGCTCCTTCACTTGCATCGATGTACTAGCACCAGCTCGGGTAACCATGGGTAGATGTTGGGTTAGCTTATTTTTCCCTTTGGATGGGGTTAAGTTCAGGGCCATCCTATCTCTATCATTGGGTTCATAGGTCTGGTTAGGATTTAGAGGGGTTGAGTGGCTGCTCATGACCTTCTCGGCACCAACTCTGGTATGTTTGCAGCCCCATGATTGTTCTCCTTGTTCCTCATGAGATCCTTCTAAGTATCTAAACTTATTGGGCTTGGTTACTAGGCCAGATGGTTCTTGAGTTCTCCTGTGCTGAACAGGTCGTCTACCCCGTTTGGTAATATAGACACCCCATTTTTGACCGTCCTCAAGACTTGGACGTCACCATTGCAACACTTGGTGATTACCCTTGTTTGTGTTCGTTTTGAGTTCCCGGAGGTCTCGGTTGCGCGCCTTGTCTCAGGACCTCTCGACTCGACCGTGTTGTGTCTGGTTTTACACCAAACACTTGTGTTTTGCCTTGGAGGGGCAGGGAATGCCTTGTGAGGCATCCCCACGTATCACCGGCCATGGCTTGAGGCCACCGGCCAGTGATTTTATGCCATCGGCAATGTATATTGCCAGTCTGCACTCTTTGTTGCCGGTCGGCCATTTATTTTTCCAAAATGGCAATTTTGAATGGCCGATTACTGTTCATCTACTTTTGGTAGATATTTTGTGCCAGCTGTGATAGCTGGTACCCACCTTTTCTCCCCTCCATACACGTGTATGGAGGGATCTCTCTCTTGACAAGCTTATTTGACAAGCTTTACAAGAGAGAGCTCTATAAGAGAGAGTCTCCTCTCTTGGATTTAGGGTTAGAAAAAATAGTTAGAGAGCTCTGGTTTTAGGTTAGGATTTATATATCTATCCTATATCTCTCTCTCTCTCTCCCTCTCTCGAGCTTAGTGTGTGTGTTTTGTCTTACTTTTGCTCACAAGCACCCACCATCACGCCATCCCTTGGAGCTGAGGCCTCTTGAGGGTTGTTTTGGAGGTTTTGAAGCTGGTTTCAACCTAAAGAAGCTGCTGGAGCTCCATTGTTGAAGAAGGTCTACAAGGGTAATCACTTTTCCCTTTTATCCCCCATTTTTGCACACTACTTTTACCTATCTTGCATCTATATTTGAGCTTTGTGCATAACATAAAAAAGTTCTATTTTTAGGCCCTCTAAATAGTTGTTTAAGGTTGTTTCAAGCTTTGGGGTTTTTTGACCCCTCTAAAGCCTTGTAAGGCTCCATTTTGTGCCATTTTGGGTGAGCTCCGGGACCATTGAGTTTGGGCCTCCTCACCACTGAAATCTTGAGGGATTTCAGAGGTGGGGATGGTGCCTTGAGGTCCTAGGAAGGAGAGGGCCACCCCCTCTCCTTGTTGTCCTTGAAAAGGACCATTTTTGGCCTCTTGAGGGAGCACCATGTTTAGGTTCATGTTGACCATGCCTTAGCTATTTTTTGTGCTTATTATGTCATAATATGCCTCTGTTTTTAGTTGGTTTTGGTACACCATGTTTGCTTAGCATACATGCCTTGTAATGCCATTTTGTTGCCTTAACATGCATCTAGGTTTTAACCCTTGTTCAAGCATGCTTTAGGCCTAGCTTTGTGAATCTTTCATGTTTATTTTGCCATGATTTAGGTCTGATTTTGGTTGTTTGGGTCATCCATGACTTGCTTTGTATAGCTACCATGCAATCTAGCTTGTATGCTTTGAGTGTTGGCTCCTCTACCATGCTCTATTTGCATCATTTTAGTGGTTTGGAACCACTTGTCGTGTTATTTTAGACCTCATGATGTGCCCATGGGTTGTTGCCTTATGCCCCTTGTTTAAGCCTTGGAGTATGCTTGCATTTTTTAGACCACTTAGATGCCATCTAAGTACATCCTTGGCTTTGTTTAGGTCTGCATTAGACTTACTTTAAGCCCCTTTGGCCTTGTGAGGCTTGGTTGACCTAGCCTTGGTTTACCTCCCCTTTGGCTTGCCTTAAGTCTTGGACCATTGTTGCATGTTTTGATTGCTTTGTTTAGTTGGTTTGGCACCATCCTTAACATGATTTTCAGACCTTGGTATGTATGCCATATGTCCATGTTTATCTTCTTTTAAGTGTGCTTAAAAGTTGTCTCTTCGATGCTCAAGTGTTGGTCCATTTGCATGCATGTTTGTATGTGTTTTGGCTTACATTCTTGAGCATGTTGGCCACTGTTTTAGGTTAGTTTGAGGGCTGCCTAAATTAGTCTAAGTCCATTATTGCATGTTGTGACATGCTTGCCTTGTGTGTTGATTGCATGCTTGGCCTATCACGTGTTGTGGCATGTCTAAGTGACTTTGCATTTGGCATGCATTTCTCTTAGTTGGAATTACCTAACATGTTGCATGCTTTGCATACTTGCATGCTTGAAGTAACTAGCATAGCTGTCACATGCCTTGTATGCTTGTTTGCATTACCATGTTGCATGCCTAGTTAACATGGTTAGGTTGCATTGCATGCATGCTTTGCCTCTTGATTATCCACGATTGAGGTTAAGCTCCTCACTAGTTTGTTGGTTTGCATTGCATTTGAAATCAACATGCATAAATTGGTCTCTCGGGCCATCACGCATTGAAATGCGCGATTGATGGTCCGAGAACCAAGGACCATGTCCCTTTGAGTCATAAACATGATAAGGGATATGGTCGGTGCATACATTGCTTTAATTGCATTGCCATGTAAAGGCCTGTCCTCTGCTGCTGTCAAACAGATTCTGCAGGAACCTTTTACCAATCGACTGCACAGAGTGCCGACCGGCAATCCATCTGCGGCCGATGGATTCATTTTTGGCCGATCGACACCAGATCATAGCCGATGAGGATTCCCTCCAGCCGGTGGTGTCTCCCAATGTCCAGGGAAGCAATTTTGAGAATTTGGCAGTCTTCAGAGAAGCAGAGCAGGGAAAACAGAGGCAGCTTGCGCATGGCAGTGGACTTCCGAGCAAGACCCGAGCACGCGTGCATTGAGCCCTCTTCCCGAGGCCCTTCTTCTTGCTTTCTTAAATTAATTAATTTGTTTAAGTAATTTAGTTGGCCTGTAATAATTAATTAGCTAGGATAGTTAATTCATTATTCGAATTGTATTATTCTTTTGGACCTTCCGAGTGAGGGCAATTGTGTAATAAGTGTGCGTGAGTGTGTGTATGTCTTCCAACCCCCACTTCTTTCTCCTTTTTACTTACTTGCTTTGACGGTTAGTAATAGGTCATGTTTAATTCAGCATACCTTATGCTATGCATGCATGCATCATTCATCAGTATTGCATGCACCGGGCTCGGCGCATCATGCTAACTGCATTAGTATTTCGAATCTAACTTGAATACATGTTACCTGTGCATTTTCACATGTCATTCATAGACTAGCCGAGCCTACTCTAGTGACATTCTGTATGCGTTGCATTAGACATTTAAACATGGACTTGGATCATGCATTGATTGCTAACGAGTTCTTTGTTCTGGCACGGAGTACGATGTAAGTATTTATGCTTTAGCATCTCGCATGAGTGTGAATGTTAACATGACAGCATGCTTACCATGTGGCTAGATGCTTATGTGTTATAAATTGCCTGAATGCCTGTGGGTGAAGGTTGGATTGTCTGAGTTAGAATAGCTCATTAGGCTTCCATGCTTTCATGATTTAGCTTAGCTTGTTGAAGCTTTCGGTCATGATTTGTCATGCTTAAGGTCTGTTGGCCACTGTTTTGGTCATGTTTGACATGCTTGATATAGTTGCTTTGCATTTTGGCTTGTAGGCCTTGAGTATTTTGGCTTCTAGCATCGGGCAAGAGTCCAATCCTCATGATTTGGCATTATTTAAGATCATATTTCAGTCCATGTAAGGTGGTCTTATATTGTCATTTGTGTCCCTTCCCATGCTTTAAGGTGTTGTAGTTTTGTGCCTTGAAATGGGCATTGTGCATGCTTGTATGTTTAAGACATTTTGGGGCTGCCATATCAGCAGGTTTTTGGGTGTATCTTACTGCATTGAACATCTGTTTTGGTTGCTTAGTCCATGCCATGAGTGGTCATGATGGTTGTAGTAGAATGCCCCTTTGTTTGTGCCTTAGCTTTGGGCCCCTTCGGCTTGCATTTTGGTATGAGTGCTTGTTCACCATTTTGGACACTTTTTGGTCACTGTTTTGGGATGGACTGAGGTCTGCCCTTCATGGTTTAGCACCACCATTGCATGATCATGTTGCATTGTTTTGGTCCACATGCTTACATTGTATCATACTTGCATGTTGGCATGCCATTTATCTAGTTGCATCTCATATACATTGTACCATACTTGGCACATTTAGAATGCACTAACTTAGTTTGCATCTTTAGGTGGCACCGTTTGAGGCCTTGTATGGCCGGACCATTCCAAGCTAGGACAGGTTGCTTACC